TATAAAATATATATATATAATAGGTGTGTGTATTCAAAATATAGCCTAATATTTATGGAAAGAGAGTTGAAGAGGAAAAAGAACGAGATACTTCAAGGGATGAAATGAGTAAGATCACAGCATACAAAAGGTGGTCATTGTTCATACCTGGCCTGGTTGTAATTCTTTGTGTTGCTTCTGGATAAACTGATGTATTTGGGAAAATAAAAGTGGCACCTCCTAAAGAGAAAGAAGAAGACATAACACCTAAAGATTCATTTTCACAGTCCCTAAGTCCACTGATATTTTCCTTCTTATAGTGTGTCTGAACAAAGACTATGAATAACTAATTTCTCTTTTACAATTAATATATATAAAAGTTAATTCCAATAGCCTTTACACCTGTATAAATCCATTCAAATTACTGGATAAAACTCTGCGCAAAATCCGTGTTAAGGGAGGAGACAGTCAAGTTCAGGAAATCCCTTCTACCTTCACCACAATCATCTGCACCTGGCCAGGTGGTTTCGTATCTTCTGAAATAAAACTTCTTTGCCTTCTCTTCATTAGTGCATGCACTTCCCAAACAGGTTGATATTTTCAACAGAGACTGTAGGCCTGGGCCAAAGCCTATTGGTGTCTGTGGGAATCTTCTCACAGACTTTGGCTGGTTTGGGGTCAGACCCTCACAAATCTCATTCTCTGCACAGAGTGAAAAAATTCAAAATACTGAGCTTGATATAGAAAATGGTATCTCACTTATCTCAGGCTTTGAAATTTCTCTAACTACATCAACAGACATCTAATGACCATCTCTAGGAACATGAAAAGGGTCATAAGGATTTTTGCAATTACTGCTGACTTCAAGAAGAATTTGTTTCTCTTTTAGGGTCCCTTGAAAATCCCACTCCAAAGTTCTTATGCTAACAGAACAACTAGTTTTCCTTATGCTGATGATCAGCATGATATTATTCACACTCCCAATGACAGAAATGCACACAATCTCATTTGGTGAAATGAATTTCAAAGTATCATTGTCAGTGCACACATATAGAAAAAGATAACACATAGAACTGCTGAACAACACTTGGAAAACTGTATGTGGAAACTGCTTGGCAAATTAGAATCTAGAAAGCCAGAGATGGAAAAGACCATCGAGTCCATCTATTTTTAAAAAGGGCTTAAGGCTTATTCCAAACCCCATCAAAGTAAATGGAAAATTTCTTTGTTGCTTTTGGTGGGGTTTGCAGCAGGCCTACAGCCCACAGTAGGACTTCATGTCAAGTGGCAAACATCTAATCTCAGGGAGTGATCTTCTAATCTAGTTAATTTTCCTAGGAAACTCACTGCTACTTACCACAGTGAAAAACTAAATGAAATATGAAATAGGCATCGCAATCCAATGTTTTATCTTTTTTTTTTCTTTTGCATTATCCTTTGTATTATCTTTTTCATTTCTTATAAAGAATTGTTATTTCTGGTCACTGTAGGTAACTAATACCCTCAGGCATGATCATGCAATACTCCAAACATCTTTAATCAGTATGTATATCATACTATACGTAAAATTCCATGCCATCCTCTGTTGTACAACTGTTAGAGCAAGATAAAATTTATTCTGAATTATTTCAGAAATATTTTAAGTCACATCCTGAAAGACAGATGCTTTTGAGGAATGTATTGTATCATTCTCCTACCTACACTCCATACTCTTCTGGGCCAAATTAACGGAAGGATGAATATTAACAAAAATAATTTTACATTCACATCAAACTTAGTGGAGCTCCTAGCTCAAGTCCCATATAACTGACAAATGAGATGAGCTAACTGCCTGAATAGCAATTTTATTGATTATACGATATATACTGCATGGGAGGGGAGACAGTGCCCATTCACCAGAGCCCACAGCACTTAGGCAAGTGCTGAAGCACTTCTGAGCTCCACCAACCTTCTAGGGATCTGTGGAGTAGATCTGACAGTACAATGAGACAGAATGAGAAAAAATGTCCTCAGAGACAAAGGCCCCAAGCCTTCAATTTATCATGTGTCAGGGACCCCATTCTCTTGTAAGACACAAGAAATTACCAGTAAGGAGACCATTGTTGCACCATCTGGCCTTGCGTGATCTCACCTTTTTTCTGTGTGTCTGTGCATAAGACTCACACACACACCAAGGAGAGGATACGCTTGTCTCCCTCCTGATTTACCATTTCCATTTTTAGCAAGCAACCCATAAAAAGGAATCCTGTGCTTTTAGAAGATGACCTATAGCAATGGGAGCAGTGCCAGCATTACCTGTGTTTCTAGCATGCATTAACCGTGGAGAGTTTTGTAAGGCCTTATCAACATCATCTGAAGTCAAATGTGGAAGAGGAGCTACAAAACAAAACAAAAAGCAACACCAAAATGAAAAAAAAATTGTGAATTATCTTTTTAAACCATATTTTCCCCTGACAGGATTGTTTGAATGCGAGTCTACTGACAGTCAGTTTCAGTCTGCAGTTTGGAGGGAGGCATGTATGCTACAGCTTAAACTAGGGCATTCATTTATTCAACATTATGAATGCATAATATTTCTGACTGATTATTGACAGTGTGCGTGTGGAGAAGACTGCACCGCACTGGTGTTGCAATGCTTGTTTTTTTTTTTTAAAACCATGTTCACTTTAACTTCTTTAAACTGAGGCAAACCTGCAAAATTTTCTCAAGCTTAGATGAAAGCCCTCAAGCCAGGAATTCACTAGTCCCTTCTTTTCCTTTGAAATGCTAGCCATGAACTACAAGTACTTTGCAATTGGACTTCAGGGACTGTTCCTTTTTTCCATAAATTTACAGAACTTTTATTCAAATCAGTGAAATCTTCCTGATCCTATTCAGAGCAGAGCAAACTGCTGTCAGTCCTTAGAATCATGCCTGGAATTTGCTTTATGAATCAATGTTTGCACTCTCGTTTAGCATTCTCATTGTTAAAATGGAAAGAAATGAGTATGTGACCAGAAAAAACATTAGCACTGAATCCCATATGATTTTCTTCCTATAGTATGATGACAAATATTCTAGGTTTTAATTTTATTTTTCTCTGAGATGGACCTGTAGAAATATTCCCTAACTCTTTTCTCCAATGTGCATGAGTGAAAGCCAACTGAAATCAATGGGAATCTTTCCATCAGTCTCAAAAGGCTTTGGATCAGGCTCCCTGCTTTGTTCTTAGGAACAGCAACATTTGCAACAGATATTTGAAAACCCAGCTGAGTGTATCCACACCATCTAAGTATGGATCTAAGACTGATATCAACCACAGATTGATTGTAGCCACTACCATAATGACAGAAAACTAGCTTACTCTCTCTGAGGTAGTGTAGGTGTGACAGGAGGATATCTGCATTATAGCTCGGGGTGAGTCTCTGGAAGTCATCTTTGGTCATTTTACACAGCTCCTTCCCATCGATGTTCTGGAACAACAAGATGTCCACGTCCGGGAGACCGTACTCCTTTACCGCCCATTCCAGCCACTGGCGTACGTGGTCTGTGCTCCATAACGTGGGATCTGGTGGTATCACAAAGCATAAAATTAGGCATATTAGTGCTGATGCACTGGACCAGTACAAAATAAATGTAGACCACAGTCAAACTGGAGAGACCTTAATCCTCTGTTTACTGACTGCTGGAGATTCATGAGGAATTAATTTGGCCTGTTGAGTGCAAAGGAGAATAACTGTCTGTGAAAAACTATTAGGGAAGAGCTATGAGCTCTGATTGTTAACAACAAACCCTCTGCTGTTAAGCTCCTTCTCCCATTTAGTTATTTTGTTATTTTTATGTATTATTATCCACAGATTAACATAGGCTCCTGTCCTCATGCAGAGAATACTCTTCAGAAAAGTATGTAAGAGAGCCCACTAAAGGCACTGCAACTTGTACCAGAAAAATTTTCAAAGCTCTCTGTTGAATTTGTATCTTTATTCAAGTGAATAAAGATAAAAATTCAAGTGAAATTTCCACTCAAGTCAGAAGTACTGTTTCTTGGGCATAGGCTAAGTAAGCACTCACAGATTTGGCTAGTTATTTCATAAATTAGAGTAGGTCACATTAAAATATTCTGCACTTCCTTTCCTAGACTGCTGTGTTGTTCTGGTGTACATTGCTACACCTGGATGGGTTTTTACTTACTACTTGAAGTATTGGCAAAATCATCTGAGGGAAAAAAACAAGAACTAGTCCAGATTTTTTAGCCAAATACAAGGCCAAATGCCTTGTGTTTTTGAATGTATCCTTGATTTTAACTTAACTTTTTTTGCCTCCAAATTCCTTTTCTATTTCTCTTCCATTCTACTTCTCCCTGTTCTTGAGTTATACTAAGCAGCCATCAACATGAGGGTCCCTAAGGTCCTGCAGTGCACATCCCCATAATGGAAGACAGCTCCTACCATGAAGAATTTATACATTTTACAGAGAAAAGACTAAAGCCAAGGGGAAACAAACTCCTCAAGAGTTTGTGCCTTCCACCCTAAATGACTCTGTGAGTCTGTGATATCCTGAAGACTGAGAATGGAGCACACAGAGGTCAAATGGCTGTAGTCCATCCCATGAAAGTCTGTAGAAGGGCTGGGACTTGAATGACAGCCTGAATAGCTTTTCTACAGCTTAACTTCAGTGCCATTCCCTCTCTTTTGACTGCTGTTCAGGCTGGTCTGAAAGAGACGGGGACCTCTTTCCATAGGCTAGGAACTATTCAGAGTCACGCTGTTGTTCACTCTCACCCATTAATGCCTCCCCCTTTCTGATGCTTCTTCTGGCATTTTAAGCCCTTGCCAGTCAGAATATTTAATCTTCTGGAGCTTCAAAGGGTTTCTCTGCACCAAAAAACACTTAAAAGAACCCCTCCATCGGGTATGAAATATGTAGCAAACTAGAGGGATGCAAGTCTGGTGGTAAACCTAGGGTCTGGATGAGATTGCCCACACCTTCAGCAGAGAATTCCAACAACTACATTCAGTTTGGTTTGAAGTAAAAAACCAAACACCAGGAAGTTTATCAAAACATTTGATTATGTCTATCATTTTTAAATGCTTCTTATTTATGGTATTTATGATAACTAGAAAGTTACCAGAGCTGGAAATGTGAATTTTTCCTTTTTTTATTCCTAAATATTGCCACGTGAGCTGCACACTGCCCTTGTGGTAGCCAAACAAAACCAAGTGATTTTTATGCATCCATTTCTTCTAGGGACCTCAAAATAGCAAGGCTGTGACTGTGACCATCTTTTTCCTTGAATCCACCTCAAAACACACTTCCAGGAGTACACTCAGAAAAAAAGATCTTGCTGAGCTAACTATGCTAAGGGTTACTAAAAGAGTAAAAAAAAGTGGCAAACACCAAGAAGGTAAGTCTTTTAGAAGAACATTCAAATGTTGTGAATTTCAGTGTGGTCTGCTTCCAGTTGGCAGGACATGTAATCATTCAGTGCATTGCTCTTCTGTCTTCAGAACAGAACTGTCAATATAATTGCAGAGGATACTGCAACATATTTGTCCACACGTATCTTGACAAATAACTGAAATAATCACAGCTTGCAAAATTGGCCACAGTTAGTACTCTTGCATATCTTAGCAACTGAAAAACTGTAAGAATATTAAGCAACATAGCAGTAGCAGAAATGTTTCAGATAGGCACATCTCTGCTAGAGAGGAACTAGCAGCAAAACACTCCCTTCTGTTTGCAGGATGCAGGTGTTGTGCCTATGCTGTGTATATCCAGTGGTTTATGAACACCCACATATGTCATGATGGTATAATGCATCGACTTTGGAAATAGGCATGCTAATTATTTTGCAAACCAAGGCAACAAACCCTCCAGCAGAGGTTTGTTTGGAGGACAACGCACACAGGAGTGAATGCCTTCTTGTTCAACTAACTGCTGAATCCCACAACCAAGCTTGCCAAGACTAAACAAGAATTTCTCAACTGTGCTCTTACATTGCAGTGGAGTTGTCAGTTGGCTTATTAAAATGTTTTACTTCACCCAGACTCAGGGGATAGCCTAGATAAATGCTTTTCATGCACTGTTTGATTTCACAGAAGTTATTGTGTTTTTTAGCATGCTGAGGGCTGGACTGCATTTGGTATTTTTCAGGGATATCATGTGGTACAGTGATCTTTCCTCTCTCACACACACTCTGCACTCAGCTAGTCCATGGTGTTAGGAAATGGAAGTGGCTCTTTGTTTTGCCTGCGTTAGGGTGAAATACTCAAAAAGGAGCTAGATAAGAACTGAGTGACGGTAATCAGCCAGTTCTGCTGCTGCAATGGGAAAAACAGGTTGAGGAGGTGCCTTCACTATGATATTTCTCAGCTCGTTCTCCTAATAACCCTGGGAATTTACTGATCTTTTCTTCCTGATCACCTATATCACATTGAGACTCTTCTCCAAATCTTCTTAAATGATGTTAGTGGACTTAGGGGAAATGCATTTTTTTGCTTGAAATTTTTGTTTAGAGGTCTAACCTGCTGGCACAATGACTCTTCGTTCATTTGTAGTCATATTTGGGGGTGGAATGTGCTTCTCTTCCATGTAGTTTCCATAGTTCATCCCAACATTGTCTGAACAGCTAACCATTTTCCCTCCTTTTGCCACGCTGCAGTCATCAGGAGAATTCCTAGACAGAGAAGAGAGGTGTGCTTCTATTATTATTCCAGTCCCTACTAATGTCCTCAGCAAAGAATCATGCTTGAATGAAATAGAAAAAACAAGACTTGAGCAACAAAACTCAGTACCTACCACTCAACGACTCTGCTGATTCCTTCAGTTGCCTCAGAAAAAAATGACCAGCCTTAATGGACCATATATTATTTCAATTTTCAAAAGATCAGGCTCTTATATGTCTCCAAACATATAAACACTAATGATTTATTTCCAGAGACCAGGCTAGAATGGGGGCTAGTTCATGAGCTTGCTGAGCTTGATCGCTGCCACTAGCTACACTTGTCTCTCCAAACATCTCACAGACAACTCAGTAAACACAGAGATGCACTTAATACAAAATTTTCTGAGGGAAAACTATTATTAGTTGTCATTGTCATTGTCCAAGGCTTGGACAACTTCCCATCTCCACTGCTGTCATTGTTTCATGTGGGCCACGCTCAGTTGCACTTTATGTCATACAATGTAGACACACTTCTACGTATGGCTTACAGAAAAGGAACATTTGCCAAAGCCATGATTCAAAATACCACACGCATGACTGGAAAAACCTTTCAGCTCCTGACTAGCACAGTCTCCATGGTACTGTAGTCAAGAAATGGAAATCTGCAGAGGATCTGCAACCAGACACCTCTTTAATTTTGGCTTTGCTTTCTGAATAGAGTCTTTAGGTTTAACATCCCACTGGGGGTTCCCTAATGGCATTTTAATTGCATCACAGTTTTCTTTCTGGCAGACACAGACATATTTGTCCCTTAATTTAATGTCTACAACGTGTTTCATCAGAGAGAGAAAAATTGTTACAAAAATCAAAATAAAGAACAGAGCCACGGGGAATACCTTTAAATGTAAAGAGGCTGTTTGGCAAGGGGAAGAGGTGTGTTTTGGTTTCTTTAGTGATACTGCATTACTAACAAGCTTTCTTTTAGTCCTGCCATTTAACTCCTGAAACTGTACTATGGTCTTACTAAACAAGCAGCAAGTCAGGTTGGATGCTTCATTTCAGTTCCTTGCAAACCAACTAATTTGCAGTCCAGAGAACCCAGAGACCCTCCAAGACCCAGACTCCTGAAAGTGTGTTTCAGGATCTGCCCCCCCAAATGTGTTTCACCCAGAGCCTCTTGCTCCCCCCAGCTCTGAAATCCCAGCTCTTGCTGCAAGTGTTGGGCAGCAATATCATTGTAAGCCCACCAGTGGTCAGAATACAGGTGCTTTCCCAGAAGAGTTTTGCTATTGTTTGAGGACAAATGAGGAAAAATAATATACAGTTTGGACCACTGTCTGCTCAGCATACGTCAAAAAGATGTGGCAGATATTTTATCCGATGCCCAAGTGACTCGGTGGAGTTAACTGGTCAGCATTACCATGGGTCAGGAGCTAATGCAGTTATAAATCTCACATGTGTGTTTTAAAAAATAACTAGCACTTGGAAAGCTGAAAAGGTTTAGTATACACCTTAAATACTAAAAGTACATTTTAAGTATATCAGTTTTTTCTCTGCAGTGTTACTACTAATTTCACCGTGTTGTGTTAATGTATGTATTAAAAAAAAAACAACTGCTGATGGCTTTCAGTTTAAAAATAAAATTTAACACAGAAACCATTCAATAGCTACTGTCATCTTCTTTAGGAGAAGGAACAGGGCCTCGAATGTTGCCTGGGAAATGTTGGCTTCACATACATACCTTCTCCAGGTATAAAATATCTCGAGTGCCACATAACATATTACGTACAAAATCTGCCTTGTGTAAAGGTCCTACAACTGCTTTGTCAGCCACAGGACTGAATAATAACCACAAGGGAAGATACAGTCAGCACATGGTCTTGCCTGTCATTGAGTGGTGGTGAATTTAACCTTTCCTCTCAGAACCAGAATACTCAGGCATTATTCTCTCAGGTTTAACTTTTGTATCCCACTATATACCTCTAAATATAATTCTGGGATGCAGCTTATTTCTGTCTAAACAGAGCTAAGCAAAACAAAGTAACTTTTTTCTTTCAGACATAAATGTATTGAAAAAGAGCTTTTGCAATGATTGCTTGTGACTTAAATGTTGGCTTTTTCTGTTTACCTTCAACAAATACAAATGGCATATATGCATAAGTGAGTCTGCATACTAAATCACATGTATTTGGAAACACCATCCAACTCTTGCCCTTATACTCGTGCAGATGCCCACCCTGACTCCCAAGGTCAGTTATTTTACAAAGACAAAAAATGATCCATTTGGGCCATTCACGGACTTTTTAGGGATGTTTGTGGGAAACAGAGAGCTAGCAGCAACCTTTGGCCTAACTGGCACAGTTACTTTATTTTGGTTTTCTGTGAAAAAGAACTTGGGATATAGGGACATCAAAGTCTTGCTGCTGACTTGAAATATCACATCAGTATTAGCCTACACCACTTCTATGGGCAATCGTGCATTAAAATCACTCTTGTAAACCCTGAACAGTAAATGATGTGAAAGATCCAGCACACAGCTTTTGGCAATCTGACAGGGCTTCTGAGCTGTTTTTCTGACTGAATATAAACAGACAGGGGTGGGGAAGAATATCATAAAGAAGTCATAACTTTTCATTAAAATTCAGAAGCAGATGGTCAAGGGTTTTGTCCCATTAGCTTACTGGGTGGACAAGCAAATCCCCAGTTCAGCAAATCTTCTAAGACCATGCTTAACTTCAAGCATGTAAGCAGCTCCATGGGAGCTAACAGGGCTACTCAGGTACTTCAAATTGAGCGTGTGCTTATGCATACCACTGAACCAAGGCTTAATTCAAATGGCTGGAACGGACCTCTGTGTTAGAGAAAGCAAAACTGAAAATGCAAGCAGACACTAGAAAATGGTATTTTTAGTGCCCAGAAAAACAAGAGAGTGATTGTCTTCAAAGACTTTTTTTTAGGACTTTCTGTGAGTCTGCTTTATTTCTGAACCACCGGGGGAGCAGGGGCAGTGGAAAAGCAGCTTTCAGAAAGTATGCCCAGTGTAAAGGGTGCAGCTTTGCAGTGATTCATCCTCAGCTCCAGGTCTGAAATGAAACCCAAGATGTTTTTCTTCACAGCTGCATGTTATTTTTACCCTTTGTAAATATACTGTGTTACACCTGGAATTTACCAAAGAAAAAAAAGTGGAAAGACTACAATCATGCTACCCAAGAGCACTTTCTCCAGTTCTGAGCTGATTCAGCTCTGATTGCTGATAAATATCTGTTGAAGAAAGTATTTCTGCATGGGTCCTTGGACCTGGAAGCCTTGCCTGTATTCAGGGTTACTTAGAATAAAGCTGATTTGATGGTTAAATTTAGCACCCACTCCTACTGAAGCCGATTGGAGTTTTGCCAACCATTGACTATGATGAAAGCAGATGTAAGTTCATAAATAAGTGTATGAAACACATTTTTTCCTCTTCACTATGCTACTATTTTCCCCATGTGACATAAAAACACCTGTGTTGTGTTAAAATGCAAGGTGTCAGAGAAACACAGATTAGGAATCAGCAAAATTTTACATGATCTCTGTGACATTCCTATAATATAATCCCCTCTATGTAATAATTCTGAATTTAAGAGGGACAAATTGTATTCTCAAAATAACTACATATCTTTATAAGCTTATTTAATAACCATAGCTTGGATAACTTCCTTACAGAGGCTTCTTATAGAAAAGGGATCTCAGAAGAGTAGAGAAGTGTAAGGATATCTTTGAAGAGTTTTCCATGTGGAGTCCCCATCCAGCCCTTTTCTTTCCCCATCCAGAACTTTTGTTCTGTGAGGCTCTGGCAACCAAACCATAACACTGTCCTACAGGACACAGATTCCTCTCCTCACTTGTCCTCTCCCATTTGGTAATGCCAGTGATCTGAGAGAGAGGGGAATGGCTCCAGCAGGGCTGCAATGTCCCCACCCTGCCCTTACATACAAGAGGGAGATCTCTGCAAAGCCAGCTCCCTCAGATAATTTGAGCCAACATATGTAAATTTATATTTAGCCAAAATGACATCATGTAAAGGTCAGCTCATATTGAGTGTATTGCAAAGCATGCTCAGGCTCATCTCCATTCACTGCAACTACTCAAGTTGTAGTGAATTTGATCAGCATGTTCCCCCGCCCAAATGGTTTGTCACTGAAAAAGTGGCCCATGAATTAAAATCCAAAATTTCCCTGAGATTTCTTACTTTGAGGTACACTGCTGTTTCTTAAAGCACACCTGACATACTTTAGTCCACAACATCAGTTCAAAGGGTTCCACAGCTGCAGCTCAAAACTCTCTTCCCGTGCCCTCTCTACACCCTCTTCCTCTTATGAATCAGTGGGATGCACAACTGCTGAGACCTGCCACAGCGGTGACATGCAAAGAGGGGTCCTGCGGATCGCCCTTTGGCAGCCATCACTGGGGACAGCTCAACACTCCCTGGTGAGGAGGAGCCCACGCTCCCCAGCTGCCAGAGCAGGAGTGTGGCTGCACCAGCAGCTTTGCAGAGCCCCAGGGGCTGCTTCCCTGGCACCAATGGTGATCCCCGTGGGTGCTAAGTGAGACTCTGAAAAGCACTTTCAGTGGTGATACCAGAGACCCCAACACTTGCTTTGACAGAGCTCGGTTTCCATTATGCACACTCATCACCCAGTGCCACAGCTGGATGCGGCTGCCCGGCTTCTTCTGTGCATACACCAGGCTAAGCCCTGCAAGAGCATCCAGCCCTCTGCTCCTGTGCCAGCACCTGCCCTTGTATCTGCTGTGTGAGCACCACCACACTTAACCTGCTGAAAGGAAAACAGAGGATTTATTTTCCTTTCCAAGGCTTCTTGTGAAAGCAGCACAAAACTCCCTGCAGGGGACTCCAGCATAACAGAGGCACTAAAATGCCAGAAAAAGCACATAGGTTGAAATATCCCTGGGGTGCTCACACAGGTTCTTAATGCAGCTGCTTAGTGAACTGGCCTGGGGAGCTGCTTCCCCAG